GGCGGACCCGTGTGGAGGTTTCTGTGGAAAGTACCGCGAATAACACAGGCAGCAACCAGCTACAGGGAATTCACTGCTTCCGGGCACCTGTCCTAGGGCCGCAGCCAGGGATTCAAGCACCTAACGCGTCCCTAAGGAATGGGATAAGAGACGGGAGTTTGGGAGCTCGCGTCCTGGTTTGGAAGCAGTCAGTCACTCAGCAGTGACGGAAAGGAAATGCCTAAAGGATTGGCTCTGCACTTGTCTTGGAAGTCAGGTCGGGTAGTTAATTTGATGGTGTAAGGAGAGAGGGATCAGGTCAGGTGAAACTTTGTCCAATTCGTGGCTCCTTGGGAACAATGAGGGGTTACAAGATGCTCTTAAGAAAAAGTGTTTCTCTCTGTAACATGAGACAGCACTTTAAATACAAGGTGATCAGAGCCTATTGCTCAACAAGACCCTCATCTGATATTTTGTTAGAAATAGTGCAATAGTTTGGATATCATTTATGGGTCCAAAAGTGGTGTTTGTGCAGATTAAAGATCACTACTCATTTTTGGCTCATCCATTCCCAGTGAAAGGTAATGATTAGGTGCCTTCCACAGAGGGATTGTGGTTACGCTCTGTATCAGGTGCAGCTCTGGAAGGGCATAACGTAGTGTGTGTTGAAAGGGGGTTTTAACTGCATTCCTTACCCAGCGTCGCAAGAGCAGGGAGGGGCCTTTGTACCTCTTTATTCTGCACGAAAACGGAAAATACCCAAACTGTGGAGAACATGGCTCCTGAGAGCCGTCATCCTTTGCTTTGCACCCTGATGTGTAGTGTAGCGGTCAGCGTTTGTGGAACAGAAGGTGTGGTAGAAAAACTCGTGTTAATGATGAGGAAGTAACTGCTCTAAGAAGTTGCAGGATAATCGTTTCCAAAGGGAGTACATCTCTTACAATTGCATTGGCATATCAGATACCTGTATCTGTAGAAGCTTGTTGTAAAATTATGTTCCCTAGACCTACCCTAGTATGTTTGATGTAAAAATGACTGTTTTTGTGGGTTGGAACCATTCCTGATGATAAATCTATTGGGAAACTAATGAAAAGGTTTGTTTCTTAAGGGGTAAAAATCAAAACTTTTGTGAATTACCTAAATGGTTTAACTTGAATATCTTGTTGGGTGATAAATGTAGAAAATGTTAATGATTGTGACAATTTCTGATTATTCATTAAAAAATTCATAGAAGTGCTGCTTGTGACAACAAAGAGTTCTCATGTTACAAAATGGCAAAACAGGAGACTTTCTGGGGACAGAGTCACTGAGCCTTGCCAAAAATATAGGTGGGGCCCAGGTTTGCAAAGGGAAACAGAGAAAACATGACCAAGTAGTGAC